TGCAAACCAGGTCTGTTTGACTAGCCAAAATAAAATATCACCCTTCAAAGGAATGATTTAATCCATATAGCACTGTGTTAGATACCAGAGAATCAGAGAGTTATAGATCGTCTCTACATGTGAAGATAAATGTCAAATCACATCATAGATTGAATACTAAGTGATTCTACTGACAATACTGACTGCAAGTGTTCAGGATTGGGGGCAAGAACCAAAGATGGTTAGGAATGGTGTTATGAAAGATTTAAGATTTGTGCTAAGCCTTCTAGAAAAAGTAGGCCTTACAAAAGTGGAGAACAGAAGAAAGGTCATTTCAAAAAAGGGAATGGTATGAGCAAAGCAGAAGGTGTCAGCATGTGGATGCACGGAAGCTGTAAGTCTGGAGCAGAGGAGAGATCCGAGTCATAGACAGTAGAAGGTGCATAAAGGAAGCTGCGTGTTATGACAACAACAAAAAGACTTTAAAAATAGGCAAGATTGGTGACATGTGCAGTGTGGGGTTTTAAGAAAATTATTGTAGAAACAGGGAGATTGGAATGGGTGGGGAAGGGAGCCTGTAGGCCATGCTGTCCCTGATGGTGTAGAGTTCCAGACCAAGGCAGCGTGGGCCTGTGAGGACAGCTAGCAGAGCAGACGACATGATGGGAGCTCGTCGCAAAGGGCAGAGCTGCTGGAGCTGGTTAATCACAGGATTAGAGAGCAGGCCGTGGGAGATCTGGAATATGGCTACAGAGCTTCATGTGGGATCATGCTAATGACTGTATAACGCTCCGTATTGTTCTAGCATAAGGTGCTAAATAATTTCACAATTATCCCTTCCAATTCTTGGATAGTCTTTATTACATCCTTGAATTAGGAGACAAAGTTGCTAATCGAGAGTAGGGTGCTCAGGGCGGGGGCAGGTCTCAGGACTAAGGGACGTCATCAAGGTTTGGAACAGCCGCTTCAGAGAATGAGTGGATCAGAGATTGCAGGGCAGCGTGTGGCTGGAGACCACCAATGTGTAGTAGCAGCAGTTCACAGCTCTCAGAGTTTGGCAAGATACATCAGCTCATCGAGGAACAAAGAAAACAGATGGTGGAATTGCTTCAGTGTTGGAGGACTGCAGACGGACCGTGGCAGAAGTACGGGGTGGGATGTGGCACAGGGAGGTCCTGGCAAGAGGAGAAGTGAATTTATAGATCAGAAAATCCAGGCCACATAAGAAGAAAGAAAACTATGAGGGGTAAAAACAGCCAGAGGACTGGAAGTGTGGGTGATGTCCAAGGTAGGTGTGCGTGGAGCAGAGCAGGAAGCAGCCTGGGAGACGGTGCGTTGTGGCCAAAGCCTGAGCTTCTCTAGTTTGGAAGACGAGAGGTCTAGGAGATGGCTGAGCATGGTGCCACGATGCACATGTTGGTTTCTGTCCACAGTTCCTGGCTCATAACTCCCTTGTTGCAACGTTGGGGCGCTTTAGGCCTCAGGAGCAGCCTCGAGGATCAGAATCTTTCTCTCTGACCTTGTCCTGCCCTCCTTTCCCCTGCCCACGGCAGGACTCTAATCTGATTGTGCGTTGTAAGACCCTCATTCCAGAGGACCCTGCCCTATGCCCTGGAAGAAGGAATGCTGCACAGAGCAGCAAAAAGAATCTGGACAGACAGGCCTTGCTGGGGTTCGATCACGCCCTTTCTGTCTAATCACATTTTGACTTTGTTGTCTCTGCTTCAATCACGGACAACCAATGAAGTCTCCATAAAAGGCCCAAAGGACAGGGTTTAGGGAGCTTCCGGAGAGCTGAACAGGAAGGTGAACAAGGACTCACCCACGCACAGGGAGGGTGGCACACCCCAACTCCACGGGGACAGAGCTCCTGTGCTCAGGACCCTTCCAGACCTTGCTCTACGTATCTCTTCATCTGGCTATTTATTTGTGTCTTTTAAGACATCCTTTGTAATAAACCAGGAAATGGAAGTAAATGTTCCATGAGCCACTCTAGCAAATCGATCCCCAAGAGGAGCTTGTGGGATCCACAGTTTGGAGCCAGTCCATCAGCAGTTCCAGAAGCCCATACATGTGACTGGCGAGAAGGAGGGGTCAGTCCTGGGGAATGAGCCCTCAACTTGTGGGACCTGACACTATCTGAGGGTAGATAACCTTGGACTTGAAATAGAGGACACCCAGCAGGTATCCCTGTGTGCTGTGTGGGGAAAATGCCCACATTTGCTCGCAGCAGTCTGTGTCGATTGTTGTGGAGTTTAGAGGAAAGCAAGTTTGAGTGTTTTTCCAAAGCACTGAGGGAATAATAATAGACAACAATTACAAAATAGCTAACATTTATATATTCATTTAATTCTCATCACAACCCTGTGAAGTATTATTATTCTCCAGATTTTACAGATAAGAAAATAAGGCATAGAGAGATTAAGTAACTTGTGTAAGATCACACAGCTCTAGCTAAATTAGAATAGAGGCAAAGGTCAAGGACCTGCTTAGCTACAGTGTTGGAAAGTTCACTCATGTGGTTTGTGAGGCAAGAAGGTTAATACCAAAAGAAGAGAAGTGAGTCTGGTGTCAAAGTTATCAGCAAACATAGGAAGTGACCTGAAGGAAGCCTCTTCTAAAACAGCCTCATAAATGCAGTTAAAAGTTACAACATTCAAATTTTGAATAATGAACTAAGAATTAAAAGCAAATGCAATTATCCTCACATTTTCCAAGATTAATAATCTAGGAAAAGTCAGGTTCATCTCAACCTATGAAATTACAAATGGAAACACTTGGGCAAATATTTTACGTATGAATTTGGCAAAGATGTCTACTTTTTCTGGGTGATTGGCAGTACTGGCCTTTGGTTCATTGATCAACATACAACTTGCTCCTAAGAACCAACTTCGCATTCTAATGATGGGCATCTGAAATCAGAGGAGTACTAACCACAGTGGTTATCCGAGATGGGGTGAGATGTTCATTTTTAATTAAAGAAACTTAACATTGACCAAATTCTATTACCGTATTAAAGACTTCTAGAAATAAGTAACAAAACATTTCTCTTCATTAAGCCCAAGAAAAATTGAAGGAATAATCTCTGAAAGTGAAAGTTTTTTTTTTCCAGGTTCTAATACACATATGCTATTTCCCCAAAATGTGAAGAAATCTCACCGGATTGGTTTAATAGGTCCATCTGGTCCATCCATCTCATAAGAGAAAACATTATCCCATTTAAATTGTAGATTCCAGTCAAAGGCTCCCCTTACAACAGGAGAGGGCTTATATTCCAGGGTTGTCTCATCAATGACATCTATCAGAGGGCACACCACCATTTTGGGGTCCTTGGTGATGGCGTATAGCAAGGGCTCCAGCCAGCCTCTGTTCACCTCACAGTGGCTGTCCAGGAACACCAGGACATCCCCTGGGAAGGCAAGAACAGGGTACTGTTAGCCCACATGGATGAAACCTAGGATCACACAAACCAAAGTTTAGTGCAATGTGTATTGGTTGAGCATTTACTATGTGTTTGGCTGTTAGGTGCTTCCAGTTGGGTTGGGGGGAAACATGAACCATATAGTTTATTATGCACAAAAATGTGGGACGTCATGTGCCAGAGTTGTTCAGAAGAGGCCAGTGAACTGTGGGTAAGCAGGTGGAACTGAGCTGGGCCTTAATTTAAAAAAGAAAAGAAAAGAAAGGGTTTTAGCTTGGTCTTGACTGATCAACTTATTTTAGCAAATTTTTACTGAGAGGATACCTTCTTAGGCATTGAGTTTGGTGCTTGAAATGCAAAGATGCATAATTATTTTTGCTGTTGAGTTCAACCTTTAATGAGGGCCTATTCTGCTTAGAGAACAGGGGAATAATTGGCATGGCCAAAGTAAAGAGCATGTGTGGGCTCAACTTGGAAGGAACCTCAAAATTCAGGTAGCAGAGTTTAGACCTTTTTTATAGACAACATAAAATCATTAGGAAACTATAAAACACTCCATGTTTGGATCAGAAGACTTAACAGTGTTAAAATGGCGATAATCTCCAAACCAATCTACAGATGCAGTGCAACACCTATCAAAATCCCGTCTGGTTCTTTTTGTAGAAATTGATCCTAAAATTCAGACAGAAAGGCAAGGGACCCAAATTAGCCAAAACAATCTTGAAAAAGAAAAATAAAGTTGAAAGACTCCCTGATTTCAAGACTTACTACAAAGCAACAATAATCAAAACAGTGATTACTAGTAATTGGGTAACTAGTTAATTATCCAATATTAGCATAAGGAGAGACATACAGACCAAAGAAATAGAACTGAGTGTACAGAAATAAACCTTGTGTTTATGGTCAATTGAGTTTTGACAAGGGCCAAGAAAATTCGATGGAGAAAGTATAGTCTTTTCAATAAATGGAGCTGAGACAACTGGATATCCACATGCAAAAGAATGAAGTTGGACCCCTGCCTCATACCATACTCAGAAATTAAGTCAAAAAGATCACAGACAGGCCGGGTGCAGTGGCTCACGCCTGTAATCCTAGCTCTCTGGGAGGCTGAGGCGGGCGGATTGTTTGAGCTCAGGAGTTCGAAATCAGCCTGAGCAAGAGCGAGACCCCGTCTCTACCA